GTGTTTGGTGCCCCGCACCCCGTGTGGCTCCCCAAGGGGTGATGCCTGAGTCTAGGGCCAGGAGGAAGCCTTGAGCACCACTCGGTTGGCCAAAACACAACACCCAAAAGCCCCACAGCAAACAAACAGTAATAGTAAACTCTTTCTCTAAGTGGGGCCAGAGAGTACAGGGAGGAGGACACTTGCCCTGTACGTGGCTGACCTGTGTTTAATCCGCAGCATCCCGTAGAGTTCCAGCCCTGCCAGGGGTGATCCCTGAGCACTGAGCCAGGAATGAGCCTCGAGCACGGCCAGGTGTGGCTCTAAAACCCAGATAAATAAATAAAACCTGGCCCAACACTTCCTTGCTGGCTGCAGGGCCCAGCCAGAAGAGGCCCCGCGGCCCACCCATAGGTGCAGCAGCGCCTGTGGATTTAGCCAGAAGGCCTTGGGGGCTTGACTCCCTCCCAGCCCCTCCTGACCAGAGCCTGGCACACCCCCGCCCTGTCCCTCGGGCTGTCTCCTCCTCCTCCTCCTCCTCCTCCTCCTCCTCTTCCCCCCCTCCTCCTCCCCGCCTCCTATCTCCTCCTCCTCCCCCACCCCGCCCCATCTCCCCCAGTCTCTCCCCCCTGGTAAGGGCCGGGGAGCACCTGCACTCTGGCCTGGGCGCCTCTGGAGGGACTCGAACATGGCAGCGTTTTAGACACCTGAGTGACATGAACAGACGAGGAGCAGCCCCAGGCCAGCGAGATTCAAATTATAAATCATACACTCAGCAAACACAGTCCGAGCGGCCTTTTATTAAAAACCAAGAATAACACGGGTGATATTTTTTCGAAATGTCAGTCATCAAAGACAACAGAAGCTCAAGAGACAAATTGACAATCTGGTGCCTGCCCTGCCCGGGTCCCGGCTGGGGAGGGACACGCTCCCAGGGGCGTCCATAGAGCACCTGAGAAAACGCAAGTACAGGTAGGGCCTGACTGGGGCTCTCGGCTGAGCTCCTTGGAGAGTTCCCGCCCAGAGCCAGGAAAGGCTGCGTGCGCTCATGAGAGGGAATGTTAACAATGGCTGGATCTTGCTAAAGGTCATGGAGTGTTTTTTTAAAAGTGCTTTCACCTTTATGGCTTTTTTATCATCTGAAAGAACTTTCCAGGGGCTGGAGTGATAGTCCGGTGGGTAGGAGCTTGCCTTGCCTGCCTCGGACCCGGGCTTGATCCCTGGCACCCCCCTACAGGCTCCCTGAGCAAGTGCTCCTATCATAGCTCCCTGAGCAGAGAGCCAGTAGTAAGGTGTGAGCACAACTGATATGGCCGGAAAAAGGGAGGGAAGGAAGAGAGGGAGGGAGGGAGGGAGGGAGGAAGGGAGGAAGGGAGGGAGGGAGGGAGGGAGGGAAGGAAGGAAGGAGGGGAGGGAGGGAGGGAGGGAAGAAGGAAGGGAGAAAGAGAGGGAGGGAGAGAGGAAGGAAGGAAAGAAGGGAGGGAGGAAGGAAGGAAGGAAGGAAGAAGGGAGGGAGGGAGGGAGAAAGAGAGGGAGGGAGAGAGGAAGGAAGGAAAGAAGGGAGGGAGGAAGGAAGGAAGGAAGGAAGAAGGGAGGGAGGGAGGGAGGGAGAAAGAGGGAGGGAGAAAGAGAGGGAGGAAGGAAGGGAGGGAGGAAGGAAGGAAAGAAAGAAGGAAGGGAGGGAAGAAGGAAGGAAGGGAGAAAGAGAGGGAGGGAGAGAGGGAGGAAGGAAGGAAAGAAGGGAGGGAGGGAAGAAGGAAGGGAGGGAGGGAGGGAAGAAGGGAGGGAGGGAGGGAGGGAAGAAGGAAGGAAGGGAGAAAGAGAGGGAGGGAGAGAGGGAGGAAGGAAGGAAAGAAGGGAGGGAGGGAAGAAGGAAGGGAGGGAGGGAGGGAAGAAGGGAGGGAGGGAGGGAGGGAAGAAGGAAGGAAGGGAGAAAGAGAGGGAGGGAGAGAGGGAGGAAGGAAGGAAAGAAGGGAGGGAGGGAAGAAGGAAGGGAGGGAGGGAGGGAAGAAGGGAGGGAGGGAGGGAGGGAAGAAGGAAGGAAGGGAGAAAGAGAGGGAGGGAGAGAGGGAGGAAGGAAGGAAAGAAGGGAGGGAGGGAAGAAGGAAGGGAGGGAGGGAGGGAAGAAGGGAGGGAGGGAGGGAGGGAAGAAGGAAGGAAGGGAGAAAGAGAGGGAGGGAGAGAGGGAGGAAGGAAGGAAAGAAGGGAGGGAGGGAAGAAGGAAGGGAGGGAGGGAGGGAAGAAGGGAGGGAGGGAGGGAGGGAAGAAGGAAGGAAGGGAGAAAGAGAGGGAGGGAGAGAGGGAGGAAGGAAGGAAAGAAGGGAGGGAGGGAAGAAGGAAGGGAGGGAGGGAGGGAAGAAGGGAGGGAGGGAGGGAGGGAAGAAGGAAGGAAGGGAGAAAGAGAGGGAGGGAGAGAGGGAGGAAGGAAGGAAAGAAGGGAGGGAGGAAGGAAGGAAAGAAGGAAGGGAGGGAGGGAGGGAGGGAGGGCAAGAGGAAGGAAGGAAGGGAGGAAGAGAGGGAGAGAGAGAGCTGCCTGCCATAGAGGCAGGCTGGGGGGGTGGGGTTGGCAGGAGAGACACAGGGGACATTGGTCGTGGGAAATGTACAGTGGTGGAGGGAATGGGTGTTGGAACATTGTGTGACTGAAACTAGATCATAAAAGCTTTGTAACTGTAGCTCCCAGTGTTCCAATAAAAAAGATTAAAATAATTTTCAAAACACAACTAAACCATCCCAAACTGCTTCTGTGTTGAGTCCCCATAAGGTGGGGAATTGAGGGACAGACAAGCAGGTCCAGTTTTCCTGCGAGGGTCCTGAGGCTCATGGGAGCACCCTACGGTCCTGCCATTCCAGGCTGGCCACAGCTGGGCCCTCGGGGCATGGCCGCAGGGGTCTCTCTGAGCCTCCCAATCCCTCCCCCCACCCCGTGCTCTCTGACACCCACCCCAGTCTTCCTCCTGCTTCTCTGTAACCCCTCACTCAACACCTATCCATCCTTCACACCCTGACACAGCCGCCCTCCACTCCCTCCATCTTTTTGAGAACTTGGGCTCCACTGAGCTCAGCTGAGTTGAAACTTGTGACCTCAGGCGGGGGCTTCCCTGGGCCTTCCGTGCCCCTTAGCGACCAGAACCACTCTGGGCACCCACAGCGCGCAGTGGACCTGTTCTCCTGTTCATTCCGAAATGCCCTTGAGGTAGGCACTAACACTATCCTCCCGAGAGATGCCTCCGTGCATACAGCCCACCTAGGGCTTGAACCCAGGACTGGGGACCTTAAAGTTTGGTGTGAGCAAGTGTTAATAGAACCGCCACCTGGCTCGAGTCCTGTGAGGGGTTTGGTTTTTTGCCTTGGGAGGGGCCTCTCAGGTGAGGGTTCTGAAGGTGGAGTGGGGCGTGTCTGGCCAGTGGTTGTGGTACTCAGGGCCATACCTGGAGATGCTCAGGGGCACCCGGTGACGCTTGAGTGGTGCTGAGGATCAAGCCCCGGTTGGCAGTCAGACTCTCTCCTGGCCCTTGGTCTTGTCTTCAGGTGGAGGTAGGGGGCCGGAGAGACATAGTCCAGGAGGAAAGGCACCTCCTGGCCTGTGGCCTCTTCTGCCAACCCTAGTTCGATCCCCAGCACTGTATATGGTCTCCTGATTACAGCCAGGAGTAGTCCCTGAGCACTGCTGGGTGTGGCCCAAACCCTCCCCCAAACCAGAACAACAGAGCTTTGAATGGAGGGAAGATTCCCACCCACCACATGAGCCACGGCGACATGGCAGTTGGGTCGTGGTTTGTACCTTGAGGACTCTGTGAGGGTGACATCTGTAAGGTCCCCCGTCCTTCGCCCCGGGAGACCCTGTTCTCGGCAGTCCGTCTCCTGCCCTCCTTCCTCCAGCCCCCGGCAGCCACTCACCCACTGCCTGTCAGCGGGTTTGCCCACTGCAGTGACCTCGCAACCAGAGTTATGTAACGCGTCACCTTTTGTGTCTGCTGCTTCGTTCGGCACCTTGTTTCCGGGGTTTATCCCACTGCCGCCTGCGTCTCTGCTTCGTCCTTTGTGTGTGGAACTCTGTCCCCTCACCCTTGCCACACCTGGATTCTCCTCCTTTTTCTATTCGTGAGAATTTGGTTGCTGAGAACGGTTGCGCTGTGAGCGTGCGTGCCCAAGGATTTGCCGGTCTTTCACGAAATTGCTGGCATCCATCATAATCCGGGGTCTGGATTGCTAGCTGAGCTGGCTGGAGCATCTGTGCCTGACTCCCTGAGTTGCCCCGGATCAATCCACTCTCAAGTGTCAAGGACGGGGTAGCCCCCGAGCAATGCCAGGGATGGTCCCCAAACAAATGAGCCAAAAATAGCAATCCTGGGGCTGGAGCAATAGCACAGCGGGTGGGGCGTTGGCCTTGCACGCAGCCAACATGGCCGACCTGGGTTCGATTCCCAGCATCCCATATGGTCCCCCGAGCACCACCAGGAGTGATTCCTGAGTGCAGAACCAGGAGTAACCCCTGAGCATCGCTGGGTGTGACCCAGAAAGCAACAACAACAACAAAAAAGCAATCCTATGTGTCTTAAAAAAAGAAAAAACTGGGGCCAGAGAGCAGGGGGCCACCCCAGTTCAGTCCTGGCATCCTGGAGTCCCACCAAGAATAACCCCTGAGCACCGCCGGGTGAGACCCAACACCCCCCCAAACAAATCAGGTCATTTGTTTGTCCACCTGTCCCTTTGTGTGGCAAAGACCATGGCTGTGACATGCCTGAGAGCCTGTCGGGGCCCTGGATGGTGTCAGCACGTGGGTGGGTGGCGTGGGGGGCAGACGTGGGGCTTCTTCCCTGCCAGGCAGACACGCAGCCCAGCACCCGCCCTCCCGGCCCGGCCCTTGAGTTCAGGGTGCCTTTTGTATGAGGTGCTGACGGCCACCCCCAGGGCTGGGGACAGCAGCTGAGCCCCCCGCTGCGGGGGTGGCGGCAGCCCGGTGCTCCCCCTCCCCGTGCTCCCCGCTGCTCACTGCCTCCCCGTCTCTCTCCCCGCAGACGTGCCCGTGGAGAAGCTGGCCTCCATGGCCGCCCTGCGCTGTGTCAACCTCCGCTTCAACCCTCTGAGCGCCGATGTGCGAGTCATCGCGCCCCCCCTCATCAAGTTCGACATGCTCATGTCTCCAGAGGGTGCCCGGGCCCCCCCGCCTTAGGTCCCCCTTCACGTCCACCCAGCAGGGGACAGAGGCCCTGGTGCCCCTGGGGGCGGGGGGTCGCAGAGACCCCTGGGAGGCCAAGCTTGGGGGGCTGGGGGCAGGCAGAGCAGACAGCGCAGGGTGGGCTTGAGCTGGTTTCGCTAGCGTAGAGCAGGGTGGGCCCCGAGTGCCCGGGTGAGGGGGTCCAGGTGCCCCCAGCCCTGACTTGGCACTTGTAGCTTCTGTGCAAACTCGGCGGGACCCCACTCCCCACGCTCTCGGAGCCTTGACATTCGGGGAGAGGGGGTGCAGAGAGGCCTTTGCCTCTTTGGGGGCCTCCTTGGAAGCTTCTAGGCAGCTCCAGCCTCCAAGTGACCGCTGAGTGATTTGGGGAGCCCTGAGTGGTACCACCCAAGTGTTTCTGGCCCCGGGTAGGTTTGAGGCCATGTGGCCAGTGCAGGGCCCGCCCGTGAGCTGTGTTGCTTCCTGAGCACTGAGCCTTGATAGGCGGTCCTGGACCAGGAGGCCACAGGCCACCACCAGGAGTAGACTGTACCGCCACCACACGGAGAACTTCGGCTGTGAAACCAGGAACATGTCAGCTGGGCACTGTCCCTCCTTGCAGTGGGGCAGCGGGGCGGGACACTTAAGTTCCCCGGCCTGTGGCTGGCATGGCCCAGAGAGCTGAGAGCGAGCGGCCCCAAGGCTCCTCCCGTTCTGCCGGCAGCCACTGCCCCTTCGTCACTTCCTGCTGCTGCTACCGCCAGCCCCGGAGTCCTGAGCACTGTGACATGACCCTGCAAAGTGGCCCAGCTGGTCTCCCCTCCAGGAGAGGCCCGGGCTCTTGGTACCTGAGGGCACCTGTGATTTGGGGAACCTCTTGCCTTGCTCCCCGTATCTACCTCCCATGTTTCCCTCATCCGTGGGGCAGGCGCAGACACGGACTGGAAGGCTGTGCAGGGCCGTGGGACACGCACGCCTGAGGCCTCAGGCCTTGGGGCAAGTCAGGCCACCCAAAGCTGCCGCCAGGGGTCCGTGGCCTCTCCCGCCCCTCGGGTTCCGCTGTTGAGGACCGAGATGGCTGCTCTGAGCATGACCCCTCTCGGCCTGTCCCCAAGCCCTTGTGCCCTCTCCCCCTGCCCAGGCCTCCTGTCACATGGCAAAGAGTCAACAGTGAGGGCCGATGTTGCCCCACGCCTGAGTGCTGGGGTGTCCCACGAGATGCCTCGTCCATTCTGCTCATCTCCCACCCAGGCTCTGAGAACAAAGGTTTTCAGTGGAAGGAGGTTGAGACCCCAAAGTGCTCAGCTCCCCCCACCCTCGTGTCCCCATGTCCCAGATGGGACTGTGCTGTGCCGATGAGGGGCTGTGCTTTTCCAAGATGCACCAAGGCCTCGTGGGGCCCGAGTAGAAATGCAGAGTCCCGGGCCCCAGCCAGGCCTCTGCTTGGATGAAACCCCCAGATTCTACTTTACTTCTAGAGAAGCAGGGGCTTGGGGCAGCCCTGAGAATTCCTTGGAATGACGGAGGAAAGTTCTCTCCCCTCTCTGCCTCCCTCAAGTCATCCCCGGGGAGCCTTAGATCCTTGGAGCATCTGCGTGGCTGTCCCCGCCATAGGAGTGACCCATCGTCAGCAGCCAACGAGGCTTCCGCTGGCCTGGCCCCCGGCCCCCGGCCTCTGAGCCACCTCTGCATGCCAAGCTGCCTGCGTCCTCCGGGACAACTTCTAGAAGCTGTTTCCTCCTCTGTTCAGAGACCTTTGCCTTGATCTCGCTGGGAGAGAGCAAGCGGGCAGCCCAAGGGGGGACAGCTCCCCACCCCCACCCCGCCTCAGAGCCCAGGTGTGAGTGAGCCCTGAGCTCCGGTCTGCAATAAAAATTGGTTTTGTCTGCTGGTTGATGTTTGCTTCATTCTCAGCCCGGAGATCGCTCCTAGCCTGGGTGGCAAGAGGAGAGCGAGGGGCTGCCCCCACGGTGGGCCAGGCCATCCCCCTCCACCGCGCTGCAGCTGAGCCGCCTGGGGAAGACCCCTCACCCCGCGCCAGAAAGGGTGAGGGGCCCGCAGCATCCCGGGGAGTGAGTTCGATTCGTTCATTCTCGGCCCCACGCCTGTTCTGCAGAATCAGACCCTCGTGGGTGGAGTCGAGTGTCTGGTGGAGGGGATGCTGTGGTGAGTGGACCCAGGTTCTGTGCCCACAGCATGGCAGGGCGCAACCCCAGGAACTCCCAGCACCGCAGGGCACCTGAGCACCATCACATCCTCCCTCGGGTCCGGACTTTGGGCCCTGGCTTTTAAATTTTCTATTGATTGAGATTCCCTGCTTTACATGTTAATGGTAGTACTCTAAGTCCAACCCTGTGAACAGTACTGCACAGAATTCCAACACCACATCCATCACCAGTGTCCCCACCTCCCGCCCCCAAGGACCCCAACACCCTCCCTTTTAACCTTCCATCCCCGATTAACTCAGTTGTGTGGGGCAGCTCTGTTATTTCATAGCTGGGCCCTTTGAACTGCCTGCCTGAGATTGGGCCCCAGGCCTCCGGTCACCACCTGGAGTGGGGGTGGGGGGGTGGGTATCCAAAAATAAAAATAAGTGAAAGCCTTTCAGATATTCTTGGGGAACTCTCAAGTGGTGCCAGGGGGCCTGGGTGGCCACTCCCTGAGACCCTTGACCAACTGGACTACTTTGTTGGTGTGAGGGTTTGAAGACGCAGCGCTATGAATGTTGGGTCTAACATGGGGGATGCCATCCCAATGGTCTTGGGGACCTCCGGGGCTCACGCATTCAGGGCTGCACCCCGCAACACCCAAGAGGCCCATGGGGGTCCCCGGGTCCGAACCTAGGGTTGACACCAGCAGATTGCGTGTCCTAATCCCTGTACTATCTCCAGTCCCTTCCAGGGGTTGGGCTGCAGTTGGAAACTGCTTCTGGGTTTAAGGTTGAAGTTCGTTTTTATGTCTCTTTGTGGTTTGGGGGCCACACCCGGCGGTGCTCAGGGCTTACCCCTGGCTCTGCACTCAGGCATCATTCCTGGCAGGATTCAGGGGACCCTAAGAGAGGGAATCAAACCCAGGTTGGCTATATGCAAGGCAAGCCCCTTACCCGGTGGACTGTCATGCTGGCCCAGCTTTTGTTTTTAAGTCTGTCTGGCCGGCCTGAGTTTACCTTGAGATTCAGGCCAGACATAACAATATTTTTATTTAACAAACATCCTGAGCTAAGTGGGTGCCAGGCGGCATCGAAGCATGTTAAGACATAACTCAATCCCAAAACCACCCCAGCAGCTTTGTGAGTGGGTCCGATCCCTTTTCCTCGACTGCCCTGTTCACTAAGGTGAAGGGGCTGCATGCGGAGACCCCCGAGGACCCTTCTGGAGTCCATTCCTCAGTTCTGGGAGCCCCGTCACTTGTCCTGGGGTTAGCCTGGACTTTTGGACCTTTGCCCCAAAGGTCAGGCCTGTTCCTGGTGGATGCTGGATCCCCAAAACTATTCCCAGAGTCTGGGGATGAGGCCAAGCTCCGCCTCTCGTGGAGTCAAGGGGGAGCTGGGTCTCAGGCCAGTGTTGGGGGCGGAGGCGGGGATGTGGACCCTGGCCGAACCCGGCTCCTCTGAGCTCAAGGTCATGATCTAGGATAGGAGGGAGCACAGGGACCTTCTGAGGACTTCCGTCTTCAGGGCTAAACCTTTTTATTCTGTTTACTGAGGAGTAGAGCAGCTTGACCTTCCTCTAAACAATTCTGTAAGGAAACTCCGGGAATGGAACAATGACAGGACCTACAGGTTTAACTAGCGTTTCCTGTAATCGGTCCATTGTGTTGATGCGAGGACCTGAGCTTATTCATGTAATGTGAGCTCGGCGGGGCTAGTTTTTCTGTTGCTTTTGTTGTTTCTGTAGAATTGACATTAGATGTGGGTCCACAGTGTCGTGACTCAATATTTGTGTTTGTTGCAAAATGTGTCACCAGCCTACTTGACATTCGGCACCACAGAGAGCTTTTGATTGTCCAGTTCCCCCCCCCGAATACCGCGTTGGACCTTCAAGTCTGACTTCGGAGCTGCACTCGATCTGAAGTGTGCCTGCTCCCTCTCAGAAAACCAGCCGGGATCCCAGCGCGGCTCCCGAGGGGCGAGTGTTGGCTGTCATCCCAGCAAGCCTGGCGCAGCGTGGGGGAGGGCGAGGAGGGGAGCCAGGCCAGACGGCAGCAGCTGCTGTGGCCAGTCAAGGTCAGCCACTGATCCCGACTGCTAAGCGAGGGGCACTGGGGTCCTCTGCCCCTCCTCCAAGCGCTCTCAGAAGATACGCAAAGGGCACAACTGAAGGGTTGGCCCCTGGGTCTCAGGGAGCAGCCCCGGGGTGGGGCTGCAAGACTGGCTGCGAAAGAAGCCCTGGATTTCTCCGCTTAATCTTTTGGGGGTTGGTTTGGGGGCCATACCCAGCGGTGCTCAAGGCTTCCTCCTGGCTGTGTGCTCAGGGCTCACTCCTGGCGATGTTCAGGGGCCATAGAAAGGGATGGGACCAGGGTCTGCTGCACACAAGGTAAGTATCCACATCCCTATATCAGCTCTCTGGCCTCAGCGGTCCTTCCTCCAGCCCACCTCTTCCTGCTCCATCCTGTTCCTGCAACGAGGCATCTTGCGCACTTAGAACTAGATTCTGGGGCAGAGAGAGAATAAAGGGTTTTTTTGTTTTGTTTTGTTTTGTTTTTTCTTTTTGGGTCACACCCAGCGATGCTCAGGGGTCATTCCTGGTTCTGCACTCAGGAATCACTCCTGGCTGTGCTTGGGGGACCATATGGGATGCCGGGGATTGAACCCAGGTCGGCCGTGTGCAAGGCAAACGCCCTACCCGCTGTGCTATCACTTCAGCCTCCAAGAATAAAGGGTTTTTAAGCACTGGCTTTGCACACAGACCACCCTAGTTAGACCCAGGACACCTGAAAAAAAATCCCCCCAAGCATTGCCAGGGATGATTGCTGAGCACACACACACATGCACACATGTGGACACACGCGCGCGCGCGCGCGCGCGCACACACACACACACACACACACACACACACACGACTGCCCATGCCTTAGGGCTCAGCACGCCCCATGTGGTTCCCAGTGAGATGCTTCGTACCCTTTTGA